CTTTAGTATGTGATTTTTTTGATAAGTTGCTTCCCTGAAGAAAGGATTATGGGTGAATGGCCAAGTAAAAGGAGTTGAAAACTCCTCGGCTAGTGTAATCGCTGAAGACTTTTCAAGACTGAATGTCTTCTAACTCTCTCTTTTTTCTTTTTGTTCTTATCTCAACAAGACCTAAACTATCTAGATCATGAGATGTCACTCCTTATCTTTCCAAGAATCTTTCCTGTTTCACGATATTGTTTTTGTACCTAAAAAAGGTAAAGATGAATATGAGATCACATTTTAATTTTATAAAATGAAAATGTTAACATTTCCAAATGGCAGTAGTCACTTTATAGTCTTCTGAATCTTCAATTACTTACGTAAATGAAGACTATATATCTTGATTTTAAATACTCAAAATTGAACACTTACGTATACCTGTGTAATATGTAAATAATGGTAATATTCTTATTCTTTATCATCTCATTAGTAGTTCATGTTTATGTTACCTATATACTTCATTTATATTCATATGATTCTTTAGCTTTTCTGCCTGTGAGTTACAAGTTATTTACACAATATCCAAGGATAGGAAAAAATACTACCCCATTGTATCTCTGACTTAAAAACAGTTGCATTTGGGAGTTTTCTGTACAAAGTTGATTTGTGATTTAATTTTTAGTTTCACTGAGTTTTTTGTTTTTAGTCGCAATTGTATTGCCAACATTTCAGAAAAGTTTATAAGCTGTGACTTTTAGCAACAGAATTTGCTTTTTTCTGCCACTCTTACATCTTTTCACTTTAACCATACTTTCATTGGAGTAGCCTAAAACATTTTTTATGGGGAAAAAATCCTCAAACAGTGCCTGCTGCAAAATGAATAAAATTTGCATTCTTCATTCAGCTTTGGCCAAAGGCCTTCCACAGCTGATTACCAATTACTTACTGTGTGTCACAGACTTTGTAGTCCCTGGGCAAGGATGCTTACTATTGTGGATACTGTAGATAGAGTGTACAATAGGAAGAGGAAGTATAAGAAGTATAGGGACTTCCTATACTTTCCCACAGGTGTTGATTGCAAGGACACTTCTGGATAACTAACTGTGTGCAAATCTGTTTCAGAACTTGTTTCCTAGGAAACACAACCTCAGACTATGGCTTCATGGGAGGAGGGAGGAGTGATGGCAGTTTAGTCATAGAGGTTGACATAAACCACTAAATCAAGTACATTGTGTTCAGTGTCATAGGGGAAGCATAATACAATCCTATGGGAGTGGAGGAAGTTACTTATTTTGCTTGGAATACAACAGAAAAAGATTTAGGAAAGATTTTTCAGAAGAGGTGACATTTGGGTTTCACTTTGAAGAATGAGTAGGCATTCTCTAAGCAAAGTAGGGTATAAGATAGTCTTGGGCTTGTAAAAGAATATTGCTTATTAAAGATGTGGCAGAAAGCTCAGTGTGGCAGCTGGGAGGAGGAGTCCATGGGACAGCGATGGAGCTGGATCCAGAGTCCAGTCACAAAGCACACTACTGATGCTGAAGGTTCGTAAACTGGAATGTGCTCTTTCCTCTTAAATCCCCAGCTATCAATCCTGGCAACCCTACTAGACAAAAAAAAAAAAAAAAGTGATTTGAATAGGCATATTTAGAGACCTCCCTCTTTCACTTATCTGCTTACTTTCTTTTTTTTCAAAACTCTTTTGTCAACCATTTCATGTTAACTTAGTTGAGATGAACACAATATTTGCATGTCTGGCTTTAAAATAATCATCTAAACACAAAAATATCCCTCTATGGTGCTTACAATATCACCATTAGCAATTTCTAGAATTATCAGTGGAGGTGCATAGTAAAGGTAATATAGTCTGGGCTTCTAGCAAATGAATGCCCCTTTCAAACCTCTGATAAGGGGTTATCCAGTTTTTGTATATTTCTGGTGATGTAAACATGTACCTTTTTCTATTGTTGTTAATACTGATTTATTACAGATTAATAAAATTACAGTTTGAATTAATCATTTTTCAAATGGGAAAACTGAGATCGAAGGAAGAAATTATTTACCCAATGTTATACAGTAGATTTTGACAAAGTCAGAAAGATAATTCACATTCTTCACCTAACAGCTTTCCTTTTTCATGGCCATGTGATGAATTTCTTAGCTTCCTCTCTGAATTATTAGGAGTCAGGTAACTGGGGTACCAGTCCCACCTCTGCATCTCATGCTCTCCACAACTCAGGTCCAGCAGATCCATTCTCAAAGTCTATCTGCGCACCTGTGGAAAGAGAGCCTAGACTAAGGCAACTCCCAGACCCTTCCTCCCCGACACTGTGAGATTTTCCTTTCTCAAAGGCTGCTAGTGGACCCCACTGGAGACCGAACGGGGAAGATTGCAGTAAAAGGCGCAGACTGGTAAAGGATAACATGTCCTTCTACATCATTCACTAGCCTAGGATGCCAGTCAACTGCATTCTTGGAACTTTTATTTTCCAATTTGAGGGCATTTTGCAATAGGCTGATTTTAATTACATTTTTTACTTTGTTTCCTTTGTTGCAGAAGTGTTTGTATTACCTGTTCTTTGAATGCAGCATCTGTAGACCACAAGGTCTTTCCATAGGAACTAAGCCTGTTCTATTGCTGCTAGTTTTGAGTAAATGAGCTGAATCTTGCAGCCAAGCCTCAATGCAAACAAAAACATTTTCTGGTCAAACATTTCCTGGTTTTCCCACTCCATTACAGGGCTGACTTAAAAAAAAAAAAAAAAAAGGTAAAAACCCACAGAGGAGCAAAACATAAGTCCTAGGAAGACAATTTCCAGCCACATTAGCTCAGACTGTCAGGGTAGAAAAGAAACAGGCCCTCATTCTTCAAACCATCATCATCTCCAGACTCTTACCCTGTGCTCTTCTGCTATTTTAACTTCACCACTTCAAAATGGGAAAAACAAATAGGTTAATAGTTTCCATGCGTTCGGACTGTGACCAGAGGCATACGAAGCAATTTCAGAACCTCAGGCAACCACAGCTTTGAGGGAAGGATGATGATGGATTTACCAATTCATCTTGGGATGGATTCCAGAGTTAAGGGAGTCAGGCCAGCACTGTGCTGCCAGAGTGGGATATAAACAATATTCCTTCGTTCATTCTTTTTGCACACATTCATCTCAGGCTTATTTCTATTTCAGACAGTATGCTGGGTGCATTATAGGACAGAGAAATACGTTCTTAAGACATAGTCTCTGCCCTTAATGAAATTAAAGTCTGGTAGAGGAATAGACATATGCATAAATAATTTAAATAAAGTGCACACTTAAAGTATTGTGAGCAAAGCAAATAAAGTGCTCAGGAATGGGAGAGAAAGAAGCAATTCATTCCAAGTGGGACCACTGAGGAAGGCTTCCCTGGGGAATGGCCTTCTAGCCTGTACCTTGAAAGGTCAAAATGGCAAATTGCAATACATCTAGGCATTAGCCAAGGCACAGGAGTATGGGAGTTTCACATAGGTTTGAACAAGAGTGAGTAGTTTGGGAGAAGCTGAGCCTAGAAAGAAAGGAGGGTTGGATACCATGTAAAGAATGAACTCTTTTGACATTGTGGAGCCATTAAGGTTTTGTTATCCAGAAAGGTACTTGTACTTGACCACATCTGTGTTTGGAAAGAAAACTGGAAGTCATTGGAGGCAGGAGCAAGGGGAGTATTATAAGAATAGAGATGCAAACAAAGAAGCCAAATCAGAGGTCATTGCTATAGGTTAGACATAAGGACACTAGTTACCTACATACAGACACTTCTTGCTTCATAGCCATTTAAATATCCTCATGGTAAAAAAAGCAGTTACGCCTGAATTTCCACATCCTATTCAGTTCTGCTTCTTTCTAATAAGATCCACATCCCAGGTTTATTCCTGATTGTAAACTCAATGAGTTAGTCCAGATATCTCAGTTGGAATATAGTATTTTACATGTGAAACGTGGTTGTTTGGTAAGAGCATGGGATTAAAGCGGGGGATGGAAAGTTAACAGCTGATCTTTCTGTGACCTTACTCACTAAGCAGTGTCCCTTTTAAGGGGTGCTGTATATTTTTAAAGCTTAGCATATTTTTAAGGCCAGATAAATGAGCTTCTTAATTCACTTTTTCAAACCAGCTCCCTTGTACATTCAACATTTCTATCAAGAGTTTACAAACTCTAAACTTGGAGATGGTGTGTAAATCAAAGCTTTAAATGATCGGAAGCCTAATTGATTATGCTGAGTTCTGATTTGGGTTCTGCATCTAGGATGCTCTGTCGCAGTTATCTGACAGACTATTCTGTAAAAAGTAGAGGTCTTAGTGATCGTACTGTGGTCTAAGTGGTCACACTATGTCTTTGATAATGAATCAAGTTTTAGAAGTAATAGTGAAGCATTCTTCAATTGGAGAACTCGAGTGGTATAGTTCAAAGGTCAACATACTGTGTGCATGGGTCAAATCCAGCCCACTGTCTGTTTTTTTGTTTTGGTTTTTTTTGGTAAATAAAGTATTACTAGAACACAAGCATGCCCATGTGTTTACATGCTATCTATGACTGCTTTGCTGCTATAATAGCAGAATTCAGTTGTTACAACAAAGCCAGAAATATTTACTATATGGGACTTTAGAGAAAAGTTTGCCATCACCTTTGCTATAGGAAACAAAGAAAGGAACAAGGATAGAAGCCAGAAAACACATGTTCTCAGTCCTGGACTTGCCACCTACTACCTAAATGATACTAGAAAAGCCATCTGACCCATCTAATTGTGTTTCCTTCTCTCTGTAACACACTTCTTTGGCCAGTTGGTTAGTTAATTGGTTGATAACACTTGTTTCATATTTTTAAGGACTGTATTAAAGCTGTAGGTGTGATTTGTAAATGGTGATAAATGCCTTCCTTAGAGAACTGTGATAAGGACCTGAGACAATCTGTTTTGTAAAGAGGCTTATCATGCAGCATGGACCCCCTTCTGTCCCAGTGTAATGTTGTTTCTGTTTCCTTCCCCAGAATACTCTGGAGCAGTGCAATGTGTGTTCCAAGCCCATCATGGAGCGGATTCTCCGAGCCACCGGGAAGGCCTATCATCCCCACTGTTTCACCTGCGTGATGTGCCACCGCAGCCTGGATGGGATCCCGTTCACTGTGGATGCTGGCGGGCTCATTCATTGCATCGAGGACTTCCACAAGTAGGCAACCTACTCTCTCGTCGCCACCCTGCCAGTCCTTTTGGTGTCTGTTCTTACTGCCTGGCATCTGGGCATACATTCTCCTCTCTCAGAACTACAGAATTTCAGGATTTAGTGAGGACTTCAAAAGAGCTTATTGATCCCCTCATCCAATGCAGGAATCAGTATCAGACAATCCATGCAGTCATCCAGCCTGGTCTCTGTGTCAGGGCTTCCCCAGAGCTTGTCCATTACATCTCTGGGTAACTCTAATGATGAAAAAGCTGGCTCAGCTATAGTGTGTATGTATTAGAAAGAAACAGGATCCTGGCCTACATATGAACAAAATGTGTGACATTTGGCAATTGCTCAACTTATTTGAGCTCTTCAATTTGGTCATTAGACCAAACCCTCTCTAAAGCTCTCTCGGCTGTGACAACCCAGAGTTTTCTCAAGAGCTAATCTCTACATCCCTGCCACTCTACTGATAGGAAGTTATGGTGGACAGACGCAGAGAACCATTCAGTTCTTTTACTAATGCAAGCCCCTCACATATTCAGAGGCAGTTTCATGCCATTGTCAACATATTCACGCCATTCCCCAGCCTTTTCTTCCACCCAAGTCTTCTCTTTCTCAAGTTATTTTTTAATAGAATTAATGAATGCAAATTGTGTGCTCTTTTGACAAGGATTAAAAAATGATGCCTCAAGATCAAGGCCAGTTACTCATGAGCCCAAAATAATCTGTTCCCCACTACTTCCTTTCTCTCATTTGTAGGTCCTTCTTTCCTGTATTATGGCTGGGGTCTTTATGAAAATTAAGAAGTTTATACAGTTTTGTATTTTGCTTATTTTTATTTGGCCAGTTTGTTAATTAGTTGATAACATTTGTCTTATATATATATATGTTTTTGTTTTTGTTTTTGTTTTAAAGACAAGGTCTCACTCTGTTGCCCAGGCTGGAGTGCAGTGGTACAATCTCGGCTCACTGCAATTCTCCTACCTCAGCCTCCCAAGGTACTGAGACCACAGGCATGCACCACCATGCCCAGGTAATCTTTGTATTTTTAGTAGAGAGGGGGTTTCACCGTGTTGGCCAGGCTGGTCTCAACTCCTGTCCTCAAGTGATCCACCTGCCTCAGCCTCCCAAAGAGCTGGGATTATAGGCATGAGCTACTGTGCCCAGCAAACATTTCTTTTACATTTTTATGGACGGTATTAAACCTATAGATATGATCTGTAAATGGTGGACTCAGGTTTCTGTATGTGTTTGCTGGGCAGTGGCTTTGAAGACAGCCTTTGAGGCTATCAAAGAGATGAAGCTTGTATTGCTCACCAGGTTGGGTATCCGTTCTATGGCCTCCAAGTGTGAAGTCTTCTGAGTTAATTGTCACCACTGTGTTGATTGTCAACAACCAGGAAGCACTTACCACAAGCAGTTTGGAGACCTGAGACTCATATTTTAAAAATGAATGTCCTAACCACTTTCCAAGTAGCAAAGAAAGTGAAAACCTCACCAAAAGACGTGAGGATGAATGAATTAAAAAACCCCAGAGGCAGAAGTTTGCAACCTGAATTAGACAAGGAAGGACTCACTTTTAAAGGGCAGTCACAGCATAAATTGTACTTCACGTTATTGATATTTTTAGCTTGTAATTACACATTAAAAAATCCCTGCATCTATTTAAGGGAAGTGAAAAGATCTCAATGGGGAGTATGTTCTGTCACTGTTTCTCTCCTTTCTTAGACTTACCCTAATCCAAGAAAGACTGATACTTATAATCAGAGCACACATGTTTCTGTGGCTAGAAAAGACTGATATATTACACCCCTCAATTAAAGCAGGAAATCAATTTTGACAAATGTAAAAGTTTATATCTGTGCCATTTATCTTTCATGTCTAGGGGTAGGGAGCATAATTAGAGACTGGCGACTGGTGACATAAGTGTGTGGGTCTGAAAGCTCCCAAAAAGGCAGACTTGAGCAACTAAAAGGGGGGTAAAAAATTAAAACCCCCAGCTAACCTTTCCCACTAGTTCAATGCACGTTAAAACATAAATTAAAAAATAATAATAATGTTGTCTTTGTGATTGGCAGGTATGTAGAGACAGAAGTGTTTTGATCCTTTCCCCATTTCCTAAAGGAAAATCAGAAACTGTTTGACGGAACTCTTATTTATGAGCCTTAAAATTACTAGGATGCAAAGCAGCTAAAAGTCCAGCATAGGCTTGTCACTGAAAGACCCAGGAGAGGGCAGACAAAGGGATATTCCTCCTCCAGATAGTTTTTGGGGCCTTGTTTGTGGTCCTTTTGCGTGGGTCTCCTTCTGTGGACCTTTAGAAAATGCATGTTAATTCAGCTCGGCTCACATTTATAAAGAACCCTCTGTGTACCAACTGCTGCATTAAATGCTGAAGGAGAGAGATACAAGGAGAGAAACTGAGCAGATATATATAGAGAAGTCGCTGTCAGCAAGGAGCTTGCCAGGAGGAGGGCAGAGAAAGTGTGCACACAGGGAGAAAGGGCTGAACTCCATGAGGCAGGCACAGGTAAGGACTGGCGCTGTCAAAGTCAGATCACCTGGCTCTGCGGTCACAATAGGCTTTGTGGAAGGAGACTATCATGAGTGTTTTAAGTGGGAAACGAGATTCCTAGCAGAGGGAACAACTCAGGCAAAAAGCAGAGGCACAGAGTTAGGAAAGGGTTCTCTGTGTTCGGGGAGATTTGCTTCGCTGTAACTGGAGCAACCTCAGAATGGAGATTACCTTGAAATACAGGAGACCCATAAGAAGAAGGGATTTGCCTCACCTGCTTAGTCTGCCTTTTATTTATTTATTATTTATTTATTGTTTATTTTATTTCTTTCTTTTGAGATGGAGTCTTGCTCTTGTCGCCCAGGCTGGAATGCAGTGGCGCAATCTCATCTCACTGCAACCTCCGCCTCCCCTGTTCAAGCAATTCTCCTGCCTCAGCCTCCCAAGTAGCACAGGCACCCGCCACCAAGCCTGGCTAATGTTTGTATTTTTAGTAGAAATGAGCTTTCACTATGTTGGCCAGGCTGGTGTTGAACTCTTGACTTCAGGTGATCCACCTGCCTCGGCCTCCCAAAGTGCTGGGATTACAGGCGTGAGCCACCGCGCCCAGCCTTAGTGTGTGTTTTAAACCAGTGCTTCCCAAACTTGAATGTGCCTGTAATCCACAGAGGGATCTTGTTAAACTTTGGATTTTAAATCAGGTCTGGAGCGGGGCCTAAGATTCTGGATTTCTGTCAAGCTCCCAGGTGCGCATGGCCTGCACTTTGTGTAGCAAGGTTCTGGAATACCGTTTTTGAGACCTTGTTAATGGGCCATCCTCTACATAATCACCTTTGGTCAATGTTGGCTCATGTTCTCCAGCCTATTGGACATGCAGTCTTTCACAGATGTCATTTCAGATGACCGCTGCAACCACTGCAGACTCTGTCTTCTAGAAGACCATCTCCCCCCTCCCAACACACACATACACATTTTCTCATTTCACCTAAATGGTTATCTTCAAAGGCCCAACTCAGTTACCATTTCCTGGAAGAAAACTCGGATCTCCACCCCTCCCTTTTTTCATGTTTGGATTTATATCTTAATCTCTGTGTTTTATAGGGTTTTATAAGTCTGCTGTAGATAGCACTTACCATAGTCTGACTGGTATGGAAATATACGTGTGTGTGTATATACATATGTGTGTTTGTGTATACAGATATATAACTTTACAGTAACCATCTTGTATCATTTTTGCAATAGGGATTTGTATATATAAATTAATAGAAATACTGCAGAAATATATAGAACTCCTTCTCAGGTCTGTACTGGAAGTCCTTGCTTATTCTTGTAATCCCAGTGAGAAAATCCAGAAAAGCAGATTTCTTTAACTGCCTGTGTGTATGGAGGCTTTATTCCCCTATCTGTGCTTTCTTACCAAGATGATTACCCCCATTCATGTAGGTATTTAATCAGCATCCATTTGTTGATTGCCAGAAATGTGCCGGAATACAAGGTGACCAGGATCATCCCTCTCTGAGCCTTGGCTCTGTTGGCTGTAAAGTAGAAATGATAAAAATACTTCCTCATAATGTTGCTGTCAGTAGAAAACAGTGTCAAGTGTGTGAAGCGCTTAACAGGGCTTGGTATATAATAAGCACTCAATAAACGGTAACTTTAATCATCAAAAGTGTTTTCATCAAATGTATTTTTATGATTATTGTCCACTCAGTGAGCTAAGCCTTGAAATAGACCACCTGGGATTGTGAACCCTCCTCCAATTGCTACTGGAGGAACGCTGTGAGAGGCACTATGAGAACCCACCTCCTGCCTGTTTGCTTTGGTTTTTCTCATCATGGAAATGAGGCCAATTGGTAGGAAAGAATCATTACTCAGCAAGAATACGGTTTATGTCTTCCCAAAGAGGAAGAACCTTGACACTGAACATAAAGCCCAACTAATATCATTTTTACAGAGAAATATGACAGATTCATTTCATTAGATATAGCCCAACTTTCTTTTTTCTGTACCAGTCACAGTGATTGTTTCTGGAGACTCCGAGACAGAGCAAAGTTCTATCTTGTGGAAGCTTAGAGTTTAGTGCCCCATAAATATATCCAAACAATTACTACCAAAATGGATAAATTCAGTGACTGAATTTTTGTGTTAGAGGAGTAGATAATTCTATTTGGGGAAATTGGAGAAGGCTTATGGATACACTGATAAGGAAAACATACTTCTGGCCTCACAGAGTTTGGGGAAAGGAAATTTTGCAGTTGATCCCAGAAGCCTACTTATTTCACCACTGATGACCCAGATTTAAAAATAATCTGGTAGTCCAAAGCAATTTTTTGCCACTGAATATAAACTTCTTATATAAAATACCAATTATAACAACTCTGATTACTGCTGTAGTGGTACCATGATCCTTTTAACTTTTCTTTCACAGCAATCAATTGATCTGCTGCTTAATTCATATTTATTTAGATTGCAGCCATACAGATGCTTTTTGGGTGCTGCCAGGAAAATTAATATGTACATATAGAGTATAATGGATGTAGAAATGCTGTGACAACCACAATGTGCTCTGCAAAGTATTAGATTACTATCATTATTTCTTTTTAAGTCTCACTACAAATAGATAAATTTTTAACACCATTTATCTTAAAACAAGTACCATGAAAAAAACTGAGTCACATAGTCTGATTTTCCTTTTTAAAATCTCTTCAATTCTTATCCATGTCCATTTCAAATCATGTGTCATTTCATACCTTCATATATACCACTTCCAATTTCCAGAAGATACAGATAGATACATGGTCTATATTTTCAGCCAATTAATCTGTCATAGAAAAAAAAAATTAGGTACCATTGATCATATTAAGAAATACTAAGAAATTAATAAATATTAAAATTATTTACCAGCAGCCTCAAAAACATATGCATATGCCTATGTATATGTATATGTATGTGTATGTGCGTTAGTATACACTCACCCTTTAATAGTGCTAAAATCCTTTAAAGAATAAAGAATTTGATAGCTCTTTAACTTTTAATTTTTAAGCAAAAGTTTAACACAATAAAAAACGTGGGAAATGCAGACTTGGCCATTTTCAGTTTTGTGTAATGTATATTTAAACTCACTAACTTCTGCCCTTTTGAAAAGTTATGTATTTGAGTCTTCTTGTGTCAGTTCCTAGAAGTCAAGACAAATTTACAAGAAAGAAGCTCTAAAAGGTGGGAACAAGGCAAAGATACCAGCCTCAGAATATTTTTCTGGGACCTGAGGAGTGCATACAAAAGTCTAGAAGCAAAAGTCAGAAACAAACAGGGGCTGGACAGGACTTTGTTCTCTCCTCCAGTTAGCCTAGCCCAAGCACAGGGTTTGCATTCAGAACCTATCTAAAGGTGAATTTCATACCACACACCATGCAGGAAAGAGACGCTAGATGCTCTTCATGCCCAAGCGATTCACACGCTCACTCTCTCACCTTGTCAAATATCACAGTATTTGCCACCTATTGATGGAAGAACCTCCACAGTCCCTCAGTCTAACTCCCTCACCTTACAGATGAGGAAGCAGATATCCTGACTCAGGTTCCACCTTTTCCTTTTACCTCTGTGTCCCACCTGAGTGTCAATGTGCAGTATCTAACCAGAACTCTCTCTCTATTTTCAGGAAATTTGCCCCGCGATGTTCTGTGTGCAAGGAGCCTATTATGCCAGCCCCGGGCCAGGAGGAGACTGTCCGTATTGTGGCTTTGGATCGAGATTTCCATGTTCACTGCTACCGATGCGAGGTCTGGTTGACACCCCTGCCCTGCCAGTCTGTGGCAGGCGTTGAAGGGCTCATTCAAGCTGGGTTATATAGATGTAGCAATTACTAAATCTCAGAATGGCCTTAGTGCCTTTACTCCTAGGACTTGGATTTTAGATCTGACACTAGTATTCCAAGCACGTGCTGTTGAATAAGTCACTTTACCTCGCTCAGTCTGCTTCCTCACCGGAAGAAAGGGCTCAGGTCCTTAACTCCTCCGAATAAGGTGTGAGAGTGAAATACAAAATTGTATATTAAAGGACGTTGTAAATTGCGAAATATTAAATTGGTGAGAAATGGTGTTACTGAATCTTTCACTTTGGCTCTGAGGCTTTGGTTAGAACTTCTTGGTCAGAGTCACGGAGATTTATTTCTTTGTTAGCATGCACTGCTAATTGCTCAGTTTCCTGAACGCCTCTAGAGCTGCAGTATATCTGCATGTTCTTTTTGGTAAAGCAAAACTTCCCAAAGAGTATAACCATTGCCGCTGTTGTGATCTGGATGCCCTGTTAACTTAAATTTCATTCTATGCCAAATGAAGACATGAGCTCCATTGACCTCCTTGCCACCATGGTAGAGAGCAGAGGCGAGGTTCATAGCTGTTGTGGCCTTTGAGAGTTTATACTAAAGTTAGCAAATACACACCTCTTGATAAAGTACTATGTATTTATTTTCCAAAGAAACTTCTATTTTCTCCAAAGACAAAGGCCAGCATTTAACTGTTATATAACACTTTTCAAAATGGACCCTAAGAGGAGCTGTCCACAGTAGTATATTCCTTTACAGTTATACAGTTCTTTGCATTTTTTTTTTTTAAATCCATTGTCTTCTTTGATCTTCTCAACAGCTCGGTATGGTAGAAAAATCAGAAGCTATTTTCAGAGTGGCAGTCAGCCTGTGTGCATTGAGGCAGACTGTGGCAAACCTATGGGTGGTGCTCAGGAGGCCTGTCCCCCAGACTAGCAGTCTTTGCTCTATACAATGCTGTCTCCTTTAGAAAGTACAGCAAACCACAGCTCCCCACAAACTTTAGGATTTTATTTTCTTACTACAATTGAAGTAAATACACAGAACCCACTGGTGGCCCTTCTGCTTGGCAGAAATCAGTCTACCTTTGCTGGACCCCAGAAATGGCCAAAACATTCCATTCCTGTACCTGTGCATGCATTTTGAGAGATCCTTAAACTAATGGTAAAGGGTAAAAATGAATCAGTGGTTAGGGACATTCTTATTTTCCCTTGTTATTTGAGTAGGGGCAGCAAACTTCTACATGGGAGTCAAGATGGGTGGACTCTTCTCTTCTTACACCTCTATTTCATATGAAGTGACCCTAGGAGGATTATATTTATGGCCATTTATATTTATGTCCCCAATCTCTAATTCAATTACATTCAAGATATACTATGTTATATAGTGGGAGAAAGGATGCAGGGGATTAGCAGAATGTAAAGCAGGAAGGATACTAAGTGGCCACATTATGGAGGCCTTGAATAGAAAGCTCAATCATTTGTTCTCCACATATGTACTTAACATTTTTACTTGCATCGTTTCCATCTGTCTTTACTGTTCTAGGATTGCGGTGGTCTCCTGTCTGAAGGAGATAACCAAGGCTGCTACCCCTTGGATGGGCACATCCTCTGCAAGACCTGCAACTCTGCCCGCATCAGGGTGTTGACCGCCAAGGCGAGCACTGACCTTTAGATTGAGTCACCTGTTCAGCTGGCACTGAGAAGAACGAACACAAGAAAAAGATAAGAAATACGAGAGGAAAGGCCATCAATCTACAGGATAGTCTCTGTTCTTCATCTGCTATTAACCTTTCCTTAGAAACACATAAATTATGAGATTTTTTTTAAAGTTGTTACCAAATACACATTTCACATTGAATCATGTAGGATCTTGATGGGCCTTTGTTCCCAAGGACTTCCACATTTTTGCACAGATTATGCTCCATCCCATTCACTTCTGCATTCCTGTAACTTTTAATCCCTATGTTTGTCTCACTTTTCATCTGGTTGAATGGCTTTTTTTAGTGTGGTATTTGCTGTCACATAGTTTTTCCTGGGTGAGTCTGCCAACTCACAGGTGCTTTTGGCTTGAAATCTCCATCCCATCATTTCCGTTCTGCCTGTGACTGTAAAGAGTAGCCATTCTTTTCCCATGTACTGAAGAATATATTTTTCTGTTGCTTTATACTACTCATGTCCTTGGGGAGGGAAATGCACAATTTTTTTTTGTTAGGCTGTAAAGAATTTAAGTTGTAAATTACGTAAGTTAGAACAAGCCCAAATTTAATTTGCAACCATCAGAATTCAGAATCTATAGTGACCAGTGATCAAGGCTAATTGGAAAAGAGTTATCGGCCCATAGCTAATAAGTGCTGACAGACAACTAAGCTTCAGTATTTTTCTAAAGAAATTACAGGTGGGATATGCTAGAAAAGGCATTTTGGGGTTACGTTTAAAAAACATTATTGTCCCACAATATTACCTTAAGATTTTTCTTTTCTACACTACCTGGACATGGTAATAGAGACAAACTTGATTTCTTCTAGAATATAACATTTTCAATATTGTCCCACTCTTCATCTTAGAAATATTGTCATGTTTATTCTAATATCCAACACAACTATCAAAATTGACTTTTTCTCTAGAGGATGAAAGCTGTGAAAAAACAGTTCAAATGTTCTTCTTTTTCTTTTTTAGGACCAGGTCCATTTTGCCTGACAATTGCAAATCAGAGCATACAAAATAAAATTGTGCAGTTTTGTTTGGTTTACTTTCAAAAGAGTAGAAAGCCTGAAAAGATTGTGAAACCACAGTTTCATTATTCTCATAATCCCTTCTGCAACTGAAATTACATATTGCAGGAGACATTTTCATATCATCAATGTGACATTTACACCACACTTTCAAAGACAATCACTGAAAAAAAATTGTCTTTATGAGCTAAAAATATGCAGAATCTCTGCCTAGAATCTTTATTCAAACTTTTATTAGCCAGTGAAACACTCGCTTGCCAACTGCCAAGCCATACTTATTAAGTTCGAGCATGTTTCACTTAAGGAGAAATACCTAGCTTAGTCATGGCAAGTTGCCACTTTGTAAACTAAGTATTTTGGATTGAGACTTCTTAAACCTTTCTTCAAATCTCCCACAAATATATACTTTTAAATTATGGAGTATTTTAAGTCTACAAAAAGGTATAAATAATAATATAATGAATTCCTATATACCTAACACCCAGTTTAAGATTCCAAAATAACAAATGTAATTACATCTTCCAACGTACCCTTTCCTTACTCCACAGATATCTTTTTCATGATTGTGAAGTGATGTTCAGATTTCTAGTGATTTTTTTTTGTAATTTTTAATTTTAACATCAGAACTGAAATGAAAAAATTATGGATACATGTTTTGAATTGCAAACTATTCCTCAGGAATTCCAATTAAATTTATTTTACTTGAATAGGAATGATCATAAAAGTGATTCTTTTTTTGTGACTAGAAATTCTTAAGCCGATGGTCACTACAGCTCATCCTTAATGTATGGTTCATTTGCTTTTGTCACTAAACAGTTTTGTGTTAGAACCACCAAAATTATAGCTTTTAAGAGCTTCCTTTGACCACTGTCTTTTATTTACCCTGCTTCTCTTATCTTTGACCGTATATTTCTCATAATGTGAAATATGATGAGATTCACTTAGGGGAAGCATGTGAGTTTTCGGAGGCAATGTCAACTGTGTCTCTGACTTCCTGCCTTCCAAATTGAAGGCCAGACCATGCTGATGACCTCAAGGAGCACTGACTATTTGACAATAGGGCAGATAATGTAATCGGCTTGAATTTTGACTTAGTAACTTTTTATGTAACACTTTGGGGGAAATTCTCTTTAGGACAAAGCAAAGAGTTCAATTTATTGAGGGATAGATTGTATCTCTTAAAGTGGTCATATTATTATTAATTTTGCCAAAAGAAGATGAATTTATTGAATATTTATACTATAAAATGTAGTAACATTCTACTTGCTTATTACATTTAAATCCTTATGTAACTGAATGTTTACATGTCAAGAGAAAAAGCTGTAAGAAAATGCTGTCACAGACCCATCCCTGTGGCATCGTCAGCAGAATATTGCTTGCTTACAATCTTTATTATGCATTCTTATAACATAACCTCAGAGTATCTTTACCAAAGGTTTTTAAAGTAAATCTCTTTTTAAGATAGACTTATACTTTTATAATAATGAATGTGCACTCATACATATGTAGAAATATTTAGATTTAGAGGATTTTTTTTTCTTTCACAGGTATAATAAGGAAAGGATCCTACCATATTTTATTCTAGGGTTTCTTAAATATATGATTTATATTACTGTCTTTTCTATTAATCATTTGATTCAAACAATGCCAAGTAACTCTTTAATACTTTAGTTGCATGAAATTTTGCCGGCAACGAGAGAAAAAGATTGTATTACCTTAATGATTATAATCATACTGTCTGCTGATATAATATCATAATTGTTGTGGTTTAAATACATAAATAGTAGGAAAAATCAGAGTCTATAACAGAAAGTTTGTAAAAATATACTGATTTTGAAAAGTATCAAGAATATAAATATTTGGTAATTCTGTGTAACAAGAGAGACATGGAAAAGGAAAAAAATCCACTATATCATGGGCTCTGCAGAACATATCAAAATAGGATTTCTTAAATTTGTCAATCTCCAGACCATACTGACTCAACATGGAGTCTCACTGGCAAAGAAAATGGCCTTTAAAACTCAAAAATAATACCAGGCGCGGTGACTCACACCTGTAATCCCAGCAATTTGGGAGGCTGAGACAGGAGGATTGCCTGAGGCCAGGAGTTTGACACCAGCCTGGGCAACACAGTGAGACCTTGTCTCTACAAAAAATAAAATAAAATAAAAACCAAATTAGCCAGACATGTGGCATGCGATTGTTTAAGTAAATAAATAAGTAAATAACTGACTCAAAAAATGAGTCGTGTGTCCCAGCATAAGGCATCAGGTTGTCAGATGCTGGCATCTCTGCAGCGCAAACGTGTGGGTTCTTTTTCTTGTCATTAACACATTGTTATTTCTGTAGGAGCAACTTCTCTGATCAAAATAACTTTTTTGGGCATGTGCTGATTAAGAAGGTGGACTTATCAACACTATAATTGTTCCCTATGAAAGATTCTGTAGAGATGTTTATGGTGAGGTTTAAAGGATATGCAACTCTACATTTAAACAAATATTTTATATTTGGGTACAGAGGAAGAAAGAGAGAACTTTTTCCATGGGGCTATCATAGAGAGTTAGTGGAATATAGACAGGACTCTGAAAACACAACTTCCAACCATTTTTATAGGTAGTGAAAATCCTATTAATGTGAACCAGCCAGGAATAACAGTGTTATTTCTATTTGATACGGTTTGGGCTTCTCTTGTCAAATCTGCGTCGGCTGCCCCCTGATACTTCCATTATCAAGTTTTGAAGGGTGTTGGGGAAATTATGGCAGCTGCTAGGGAGATCAGGGAAACACTGATGTAACCTCAAAGCCTCTCACCATTCCTCTTGGCTTGGAAAGGCTTTATTTTTTCATATACATTTCTAGAAATATTGCTATTCTACCTTAGTATTTCACATTTGTAGTTCAAACAAGCGATTGTCCATCTGTTGCCTAGAGCTATAGTACATGTGTGTTATGAATGAAATATGACAGCATGTTCCATACCCCTGCTTTAGCCATCTGTGGGAAACCAGCAAACTGAAAAAGATACCTCTGCAAAATGTGCCTCAAGTCCATTTCTTGAGATCGCTCGTTTGGTGCACTCTCGTGGGAGACAATCAGAGAACAACATATACTTGTGCCTTATTTTCAAAGAATCTATTTACACTACTATGAATATTCCACTGAAGAGTCAATGATGTAAATGATAACCACCAAATCTCAAAAGTATACTCACCAAAAAGTAAAAAAGAAAAAAAAAAAGAACGAAAAGAGAGAGAGAGAGAGAAGTCAACTTTTCATCTTAATATATTCCAGTAGTATTTATTTCTTCCTTGTCTTGGAAGTATCTCATAGGTCTTTAAATGAGTAAAACATTTTTATGCCAGAAGGTGACATAATGGTTGTTAGTGTCTTTTATTTGATTTTACAGTAGCTTTACTCAGATAATGAGGACACAGACTTCAGCTTGAGCCTTTACCACCCATTCAGCATATTTTTTAATTGTGTTCATTTTATTTGCTTAATAGTGGTCCAAACAAGTTCAAAACTTGTTCTCAGTGAGGCATTAATATGGTGCAACCATGAATATTTCAGACCAAATTATTTACTTGACAGATAACTAGAATGAAACTTTTCTCATGAGGCTGTTATTTGGTGAGCATAGCCTTATTTCAAACCTTTAAAAAGTTACCTGACTGAAGCTACTATGACTTGGTAAGGATTCTTCCTCTCTTCCTTTCTTCCTCCCTTCCTTTCTCCCTCTTCCTTCCTCCTCTTCTTATTTTCTTTCCTACTTTCCTCTCTCCCTTTCTTTCCTTCTTTCCATCCTACCTATTAGTGTTGCTGTACTTGGATTTTTTGTACATTAAATCAATGCATTATGGTTTTATGGAATTATGATTATATTAATAAGGGGAAGGCTACCAGAAAATAGATATGGCATCCATAAAATCTTCCTTTCTAGGGGCATATTTTTTAGGTTGTATTTATTCGTAAAGTGAAATGAGATCATAGAGTCTTTCTGTTTCATTTTAATGAATTTTCATCAGGGACTGAGGTCATAGATTCTTGGAAAATTCATTTGTGACTGATCTAGTTTTCTCAGCTGTATGCAAAGTAATCTTTCAAAGACTAGGTTAAGATTTTTTTTTAAGTCCAAAGCAATTTAACCACAAAAAAATTATGTTTTTAATGATGGCATTTTATTTTATTCCATTGCAGCTTGATAACTTTCCTTATAGCAAAGGAATAACTTATATTTTCAGAATTTTAACATAGATTAGCACTTAGCCTGTGAGACTAATATTATATTGTAAAAGTTGATACTAAAATATTTTTCAGCAGGTTGGACAGCACCAGGTTTTCTTAGATCACAGACTACAGGCATCATTTCCCTTCAGTCCAGAAAAAAGGACACTAATTCCCTTTTCTATTTAATTTTCCTGGCCCTTGTGCAAGAAGTTGTGGACTCTATCTTAGTTGCAACATGCATGTCCCTTATTTTGTGGAGAGCTGTGTGAAAGATGTGTTTGTTTCTTTAACTGATTGACAGGTCCCCCTCAAAGTTACAAAAAAAAAAAAAAGTGCTACACTTTTGCTGTTAATTTCTGGTTGTTATTTAACTGACAGAAGTCTCTTAATGCACAAATAAATATCTCTACATCTAGCCTTTGTTTAAAATAAAAATTAATATTCTACAAACACCTATGTATACTAGAGAGGGGGGAAACACTGTAACTAATTCCTTTATAGTACTTTCAGATTATTGCATTAAGCCTTTCATGTTATGTAGCCTTGTTAATTTTTCCTAGATACCCATCCACTTAAGGGCCAGAGAAATCCTTATTCATTTAATTCTGGTGGGCATTTACTTAATGTATCCAAATAAAAACATTATTAAACAGCCACAGTTGCATTCAGCCAATTTGGCACTGAATGTGGCTTCTAAATTCAGTTCTCTACCCTACAAATGGAATGTTCTACCAAGAAAGAGAAGCATCACCATGTTATCTTGTGTTCTACACCACTACAGAGAGTTACAGTTGCCCCCAAACACGAATGCTATTCCCAAATAAAATAGAATCATGGGCCTTTTAAAGATCTGAACCTTCTCTGTTATTTTCCTGATGAATTACCATCCCATATCTTCTTAGTCCTGGCCAGTATGTAGTAGTGCTCATATACGTCTATTCTAGCTCTGTAGCTCCACACAACAAGTCTTAAGTCCAAATCTTTGCCTCTTCATGTCTGATATCACCAACTCAGTCAACTTTTCTTCACTTATTGACATAGTGTCATGTCCTGTCACTCTCTGCTGCTTCTTTAAACAATGGACACAAACATGTTTTCTAATTTTCAGTGTCCTCAATGAAACTTGGCAGTTCACCATGAGTCAGGCTAGGTTGAAAGGCTTTCTTTAGGGTTGAAAGTAAATGAAATTGGAATCACCCAAAGAGAATTTCCCCAAAAGTCCTCAGACCCAGAAGTGTAAAAGCTACAGAAGGATAGAACTCCCGTGTTACTTTTTGTTCTGTACGATTTTGGATGTTGCCAAAATCAAATTCATTCTGAAAAGAGGAAGCAAGCTAATGCATATGCCATCCATGAGATTCCCATTTCTGGGTCAGTTCATAATCCATTCAACCCTTTCCTTTTATCCTTGTCTTCTTCAGAATATGACATTTTTCGTCCATATTTTCATGTTAAATATTAACACTTTATAGACATTTAATATATGGACATTTTACAGGTTATACATAAATATTTGCTGGTTGATTGGTTTTGAGATTCACTTCATTCTGTGCTCAAATATTTGTACCTAGAGATGTTACACGTTAGAAAAAGTGAGCAGTTTCTTTCTCTAATCATTTAGGAGTCCATATTTTTATTTTATCTTTTTGTCTCCCCAACATCCTTATCTCTTAGCTCTTCAATTTAATAATTACCAAATAATCACTGTAAGAGAATCAGCCCCTAAGTAACTTTGATTCAAGCCAACTGTAATAAGATCCAACTGCTTCAATCTGTACTTAATAGGAAGGAAAGTGGCATCAGGAAGAGTAATTCCAGTGACATTAGTAAGACTTTATGGAGGACATAAAATTTGATAAGAAATCTTGAGCTGATGAATTGACTTGATTTGGAAGTTGAGAAAAGAGTATTTAAAGCACAACAGGGAAACATGGGCTATACTCAGAGAAGACTGTCTGCATCAGCCAAAATATCATGGATTCTGGAAATTCCTTCTTAACAGAAAAAAAGGCTTCCAAATAATCAGGCTAAATGGGAAGAAAAAGGCATATAGGAAGCCTGAGGAAGTATTTACTTGCTTTTCCATCTCTTTATAATTGGAAGAGAAGATGGTCTGCCAAAATGTAACCCAGCATGCACAGTATGAACAGGAAGCAGCCCTCCATGAACTTTATTATAACAGAAAATGAGCATTCTTATTGATCCACAGCTACATCTTCTGTTCTTGCAGCAAGGGTACATGTCCTTTGACCCTCCACAAGAGAACAAGCAGGACATCTCTATTTTCCTATTGAGTCTAAGTCCATTATTAGAAAGGACTTCCCGGCCATCTGTTCCACTTGGTATTAAAATTCCCTTACAGATTCATTGCTAAGTGCCAATTCTGACTACTTAAACATCACCTGTGTCAAGGAGCTCATTATTCCGTGAGGTCTTACATTTCTTTCATCACATTTTGTTCCAAGCTACCCATGACTTTAAAACAGAGCCAGCCTTTGGGGCATTGTTCTCTTTGGTGCCACACAAAACCTGTAGTACACAATACAATGTTGCTTCCCCCTCCTTTTCCTTCCATCTATATTTGTTTTGTTTTGGGCATTGCATTACTTTTTTTAAAAAACTTTGATTACACAAATTTTTAAGAATGCCTAAAATTAGTCTGAAGGATGTTCTGAGGGCCAGACATTAGAGTTGCTGAGTTTTTTGTTGCTGGTTGTACTTTCCTATTTAGAAGACAGACCATTCTGACAGTTGTTATGTAGCTTCATGCCTTCCCCAGTAACTAACCCATGAACAGTACACCCCTTTTATCTGACTTGTTGATAATGACCTTTAAAATGTTGGAAATGGGCCAGGCGTGGTGGCTTACGCCTGTAATCCCAGCACTTTGGGAGGCCGAGGTGGGTGAATCACGAGGTCAAGAGATCGAGACCATCCTGGTCAACCTGGTAAAACCCCGACTCTACTAAAAAACAAAAATTAGCTGGGTGTGGTGGTGTGTGCCTGTAGTCCCAGCTACTCGGGAGGCTGAAGCAGGAGAATCACTTGAACCTGGGAGGTGGAGGTTGCAATGAGCAGAGATGGCGCCACTGTACTCCAACCTGGTAACAGAGTGAGACTCCATCTCAAAAAAGAAAAAAAAGAAAAGAAAAGTTGGGAAATGTTGGTGTATAATCCTCATGTCTAACAAGGAAGAAGTCAAAAGCAAAAAATAGTGGTACTGCTGAAAACTCATTATTTCCGCTTAGTTCATCTGTGGAAAAGGATATCATTCTTGAGGAAAGGGTTTCTATTATGTTATAGTTTTATATGGAAATGTACAAGTGCTTTCCTCATTGCTCTGGATGACTATTTAGTTTAAATAGTATACCTGTGTCTTGGGGAAGACCATGATTGTGGCTTCTTCTACCCCAGCTTTGAATGAGAGAGCACTGTAGGCAGAAACTGCCATCAGTCTCCTGGGCAGGACCTGGAGGTAACTTTCTAAGCTCTAAAATAATAATTCCTAAGAGAGCTTACAAACTGCTTCCACACAGAAAATAGCCCAGGGAGGATGGTTATTAATAGCCCTATTCTAGAAGAGAAAGATGAGGCTGAAACCATTAAGTGACTTGCCAGAAGTTATGACATAGCTGGGAAGTGGCAGATTTGGGGATAAACCCAGGTCTTGCAAGTCCAGTGCTGTCTCCAAGTAGCCATGCTTACAGCTGAGAACACCTTAGAAGACAGTATCGACTTCTCACAGACTACCAGGCCCCCAGTCATCCAGGGAAATTCAGAGACCAATTGATTGCCAGGTGGCAAATCCACATGTGTACTGCAGTCTTGGAGATCACGTACAGCTTGCACACATCTATGTCATCTTGTGGGAAACCTCTAGGTATTCTGTCTGATCCGCACTGTGAGGAAGTTGGTGGGAAGAGGCCACTGATAAGAACAAACAACAGGCAGAACAAAGCATATTGCAGTAAATTTCCCCGGAGAGAGTTGGTTTACATTCCACTCACCAA